GGCTGTTGTCAATCTTTTTATCATTCATCAGCTGGTAGAAATTGTTCTGAAAGTGATTCCAATGATATAGCCATTATCGTTATAGTTGTGGTGTGGACTCTGCTATTCTTTAATAATATTTAAAATGTTTTTAGACATCTTTATCGTAAACATTATCGTTATAACATACATTATTTAAGCGTATTAAAATACATATGTTTGCTTATCTCTGCAGCACCAAAATATGTTTATATAGTGTTGTTATTGTTAATTACAACTATTAAAAATTAAATGAAAATTAATTTAGGTTTAGCTTAGTTATAAAAGCAAAGACAAAGTGTGTGTGTGTGTGTGTGTGTGTGTGTGTGTGTGAGGCAAGAACAGCAGATAAATATAAGATTTCATTTAATATTTTTCCAATTCCTCATATTTCCAAATGGTTTATTAATTCAATATTATTCTAAAATGTGGAATAGTCAGTCATAATATATAATTAGAAGGTGTATCCAAATGTTTTACTTGATGTGAAATAATAATCTAAATGATTAGAGTTTTTATGAAACTTTGAATATTGTCATATGTATTTATATCTGAATATATAAGAGACTAGTATTGGTATTTTTAAGTTTTAATTAGTAGCAACTAGTATGTCAAAAACTAGAGTTTTACATATCATTTTTGAGTGACTTATAATGAAATTACTTACAAGAAATACGGAAAGTTACTCTCCGTGTTGCCTATCTATGCAAAATGAAGTCTAACTAAGGCGGACAGCAATTTGTACCTGCAGTCTGAGCTCCTCCAGCTCTCGTGTTTTATCCAGCAGTTCTCCTCTGAGCTCGGCCAACATCAGCTGCTGTTTCTCCTGAGCGACATGCCGATCACTGAGCAGCCGTTTCAGTTCACTCTGCGCCCGGGTGTATTCATCCTGCAGTCTGCATTTGCAGAATTGAACACAACAATGCATCCCAGAACTGTAGAAATGACCAACCTTGAAGTTTCACACAGTCACTCACCTGGTGTGCTCCACTTTCAAGGTCTGATAGTTGGTCTTGTGGTTCTCACAGCGCATTCGCTCATCGATCAGCATTTTCTGGAGCTCCATATCAGAGCTGGTGAGTCCCGTAGAGCCGGCCAGGAGGACTGCGGTTTTCCCGACTCCTCCTGCAGGCTGCAGGTTTGGGAACAGGGCAGATGACTGCCCTATTGCTGGAGGGTTCATCTGGTGCATGGCAGGCAGAGACAGCGAAAAAGGAGAGAGGGAACAAAAGAAAACGATTTTTATACTTTCCTTCCCTTCAAGAGACTCTTAAAAAGAATCTCAATCAACACTAATGACTTCAGCCAGCCAATGTAAAGAGATGCAACCACATCTCATCAGAACTGACTATTTAAAAATCACTTGTAAGAGTCTTAGCACGAACAAAGCATCTAATCACTACATGTGTAGCACAAGAGTCCTTACTGGCTCTTCTGCTCTCAAGTGATTAGATGTGAAGCTCAAGCTGGTCTCCAGTGATTCACTCTTGTGTTGTTGTAGAAACACAACTACTCCAGCATAAACGCATAACGGCTTCCCGTGTTGTCAAAGCAACCGAACCACTAGGGAAACTAACCTCGGTGCATTTAATCCAGCGCAAGATGAAGCATTTCCTGTTGTCCTTGACTGGAAGTCCGTGAATTTAATTTTAGCTGTTGCTATATTGAAATGTCATGAGAATAACAGTGATTGGTCAACAGTGCATACTGCACTCGTTTTATAAATAAACACCTCTGCTGGGTGTAACCTACTGCATGAGCTCAAAACTTTACAAACCATAACAAGTGCAATAAGTAAATAATTTTAGCAGATGCTGTAAAGTTACCCGATCCAACCACTGACAGCAGCGACGCACTGTTGTTACGTAATGATGATGGCGGCACCCTTAGCCGCCTTTCAAAATAAAAGACTTATCTGGACACTTTCCGTTTGTTAATGGCCAAAAGTCCGGAATAAGAAAATCGACATCAATAATAATTGTACAGTATTGTTGAAGCTTATTGTGTAGTTGTATTTGGAGTTAATTGTTTTATTTGTGATCATTTTGGCCAGGCCGTCATACCAAGAAATTGATAAATAAGATAAAACCAACAAAATATTAGGCTACTCTGTTGTCAATGTGTTCTTTTCCTGTGAGCTTTTTGTTTATATTTTTTTTTATAGTAAAATAAAATATGTAGCTGTAGTTAAGTTATTTGTTCTACCCTCTTACTTAAAATAGTTTTCACATATTGTTTAATGTTAATAAGTAACAAATGGGTGGATGAATGAACGAACGAACGAACGAACGAACGAACGATATTTTCAAGATATGGTCAACATTTTCAGTGAATAATTACTTAATTTTCGGGTTGTTCCTCGCTCAATGTTTTAGATAAAGTGTTGGCACAGTATATGAGTCATAGAGAAAAATGCTATGTTTTGGTGATTTTGCATTCTTTTTTTACTCCCCTTTGTCATTGCCTGGAAAATAATTTTTTTCTGCAATGTGTTATGAGAAAAACATGAGAATGTGTAACCCTAAATGATGAGAGAAGTTTCATTTTGGGATGAACGTCGCGATCCATTTTGCAATAACGCTTTTCTGCCAGCAGAGGGTGGAAATGACTTGCTACTCTAGTTTAGATCTATGGTCTAGATAGGCTATCAGAATGCTTTCATGCATACAAATAAGTTTTGAAAAGGTACAAATGGCAAAAGTACAATTTATATACCTACATCGGTGTAAAACTGTCGTGGTTTCCTATTTGCATGTTATTATCTCTTCCGATGCTTTAACACACCGTTTATAAAAAGTGTTTTTTATTTATTTATTTATTAAATTTTTTTTTTTTGGCATTGCATTCCTTGAACCTTTTATAGTTGGGCATGAACCAGCCCTTGTGCTATTATGGAAGTTATTTATAGTTTTTGTAAGTACTCTATCTTTAAAAGGACAAAAGAAAACCATTCCTGAAATAGCCAGTTTTCCCACAGTTTATTATGTGTGAGTGAAGAAAGAAGCAGTGTTTTCTTTCTTAACCCGAACATTTTATTCATCTCAGAGTCTTCGTTATGTAAAGAAAGTTGCAGCACTTGAGTTCAAGTAGTGTCCAAAATTCATTCAAGTATATTTTTCAGTGAGGCTAATCACACTAGTCATACTATAATATAAAACAGCATAGAGTAGTGCATATATATGTGAATTAGGGAGCAAAGTGTCTTGGCATTATGCTCATGCTTACATAATTTCATAATATACATGTAGATACATTTGTCTACACTGTCTGAACAAATGGAACAGATTTCATCACTTGACAAAAATTACAGCACAGTCATCCTAAATTGCAGATTTGAAAATCAAAACAGATTTGTTGTGTGAACAAACGCTAAGTGACAAAGTTAGCGAAAATACAACAATTGATTATAGCACCTTTAATGTGAATATCAATCTTTGACAATAGTATGATTTTCTTAAATCATTTAGCCTATTTTATTAGCCAGTTTCCCGTCATTGTGTGAATCAGCTCTCCATTTCCCAGTAAGCCTCTGTGGAAAATGTAACAGCACTGACTGCTCTGCATTATAGGTCACAGTATGATGGTAGGTTCACTCCCACTGAGAGCTTAACCAGTGCCTCAGTTTTCCCTCACTCTGGGCATTTATCACTCACACTCCTCACCTTCTTCATGTTTGAGGCAACTAAACAGTTTAGCAGAATCGCACCTCTCAGATTCAATGCTGAAAACATCTGTGCTGCTGACAACATTTATTAATTAAAAGGATGAGGTCTTCATCCATTTATTTACTTTGATTCCCTGCCCGACATGTTTCCCTTCAAATCCATAAAGTCCCCACGGCCCTCCACCTGAACTGCAGAAAATTTTTCCCAGATTTTTCACTCATTGCATTCTCTCAAAGCAGTGACAGAAACTGCAGATTGCATCTGTTTCTTTTCAGACAGGATGGAGATAAAAACCAAGGCTCTTATATCATGCCTGCCCTTCCCCCTCGAAATGCCTTTCCAATGTTTCAGTCACTTAAGGCCAATTTTCTCCAGACATATACATCACAGGACTTCATACATGTCTCCATTTTATAGACTGTATAGTTTCTCTTTGTGCTACATCTTGTTGGAGAATTAGCTTCAGGGCTTCAGAACAAATGAGCATGTGGGCTCCAACTTGTGGGACACCAATGTGGGTGCCTTGCAGAGGGAAAATAAATCATATATATGCTTGCATGGGCCTGAAACATACTCCGCACAAGTATGCAAACAATTTTATGCGTTGTTGCATCCTAAAATTTGTCCAAATTAAAATCAACAGGACTTGATTTTCATGCATTGTTCTCAACTTGTAATACTTCAATGATTGTTTCTGCCGTAAATGAATACATTATTAGCAAACTGTGCGATTATATGTAGCCTACTTTTCTGAAATACATTACTTGGACACAGTACTAACCTCTGATAACAGATTACTCGAAATTGTAATGTAGACACATGCATTTTCTGTCAAGCTGCTTTGAAACGATATGTATTGTGAAAAGCGCTATACAAATAAATGTGAATTGAATTGAACTATTGTCGTTGCAGAGCAACAGATTGAAGACAATCTTAATGAGCAAGTTAGTTGAATTTAATGAAACTGTTGCATGCTTAAGCCGTGGTGCGTGGTTACTCTAGACTTTGAGCACACAAAATTTCTACGGAAACTGTGGTGGTCGTATCTGCGGTATCTTTTTGCCATAACAAAAACATATAACATATATTACTTCCAAAATGTAAAAAAATACAATCTTCTTAACTTTACTGCAAAAATATGCGCTCTTTTAATTCAGCCAAGAGGTCACGCCATGGTCACTCGTCCTCATGTGAGGCAGTGTTTAGACCCAAAACATATCAACTCAATGATGGAGTATTTATGTTTAGATGAACTATCCCTTTACCCATTTGTGACTGTGTGCATACTTAGTTAATGAAGAAAAATCAGACCCACCGATGAATAAAAAAAATCTGTAATTTTATTTATCAAGATTCAATTTCCAAAATTGCTCATAAAAAAAATACTAGACACAATACTGTACGTAAACATCAGCTGCATGAATTCTGATTAGACTGAATAAATCTGCCAGTCTAAATTATGCTGGAAAAACTATTTGTTCATGACAAAATAAAAAAAAGTTCCCAACAACATCACAGTTTCTGCCTTAAGTCAGACGGATGATCTCATATTTCTTGGGTCCTCTGTAAGGTCTGGGCCCCAATTCTGAAGCCAGCTCCTCTTCGTCTATTACAGCAGTGAGCTCCTGGGCTGTGATGCCCGCCGGGTCAGTGCCAGGTGACTGGCCCAGCTGCTTGTCCTTAGGGCAGTCTGCGTTGTAGGTCTTCACGTAGTTTTCCACCGGCCAACCACGAAACTCTTCTGGTTCACTGCACACTAGACCTGTGTGGGACACACCGCGGTGGTGCTTCAGCCAGTAGATCAAGTAATGAATGTTGTAATCACAAATCCAGGGATTGTCCCCCAGAGATAATTTCTTCAGGAAGTACAGGTCCTCCAAAACGCCATATTGAAAAAATCGCAGGCTGTTGTTGGACAGGTCCAATTCTCCCAAGTGCAGGAGACCCAAAAAGGCAGCTACAGAAAACAGGAGGGAGAGAAAAAAAGTAAATAGATAGACTGTCTCTTCAGATTTGCTTCAAAACGTTTTAAATAATGAATTAAAAAGCACAATATAAACAAATTACGACTAAAATAAAATTAAAATAAGTACAAATTAAACTGTATTGACTGCAACCATGATACTTTTGAATATCATAGAATTTAAACTCCCCCAGTTTTAGAAAATACATTGTGAAATATGTCTGGTTATGTGTTATTATAAATAGAATAGATTTATGTGATTTTATATATTTGTGATTTATACATGGTTTATGATTATATATATATATATATATATATATATATGAATTATTGACTTAATAATTCAGTTAAACAGGGTTTTCATGCTTGAATGTTTAATAAACGCATTATTTTTCACTTTTTTTTTTTTTTTTTTTTTTTTTTTACATTGCAACTCTCTAATTCCCAGTCGGTCAGTAACTCTCTGTTGAAGCCGCTTCTCCCAGAAAGCATAATGTGGTCTGGTTGTTTGGATGGACCAGTGTGTTGTCATTAGTCAACTGCTTCGAATGTGTTCGTGAATGTCACCCCTTACCATAACCACGTGTTTCACCACACTACTAACGCAACTCAACCAGATCTTTTGCATATGCCTTGGGCGGTAGCCTTTTTATTTAAATGAGGGATTTTGTGACGTACATTCCCTGAAGAAAACTCTAAACACTACAATCGAGGCGGTTCAGGGAGTTCAGAAACAGAGCTTACTGATAAAGAGAATAACTCCCTTTGGTGTGACTGTGACATTTCTGCTTTTAAACATTTTGGTACAATCTCCAAATAGATTTCCATCATAATTGCGTTACTTTTTTCTTCTTTTTTACTGATTACACGTTATTTTCCGCATTTTAATTCAACCCAAATCATTTCTTTAATTAGAGTCTGAATGAATTACACATCTTTGACATTGACGTGAGGGAAATTGTCTGTTGTTCAAGCTGTGCTCTCGCTGTGATCTCTGAGCTGACTGATGAACTAAACAGAAGGAAGACTGCAGTTCTGTTGTGTGACTGAATCAGTGTTCATCTCTCTCAAGGGAACCATTAGATGACGCACCCTGCTGGTCTGTTCATTAGAAACAACTGACTGTGATTAAGTGCATTTTTTGAAGCAGTTTAGAAAGGCTTAAGTGTCTCATAATTATAGCAACATCAGCAAGTACTTAGTTTTTGTTTGTAGTTCCCTCTATGGTGAGAGAAAACGACTTATGTGAAATAGTCGAATACCAATAAATGTCTGAGAGAGCATTTTTGGAGTAGACTTGACTTAAAAATGCAGGCAGGTCAGGTAATTAAACACATGCCATGTATTATTATGTACAAAGGACTTTTGAAATGGATTTGCTTTAAACCAAACACAGTTGACTGCACAGTCTCTGATAAGATTTTCAGAAAGTTTAGGAACCCTTCACTCAGATTTGCTCTCAACCAACCCAGCTATGCTGTCTTTAACACTTTAGCCATCATTAAAGGTGTGGTATAATACCCTTTTTTACAAGATGTAAAATAAGTCTCTGATGTCCCCTGAGTGTGTATGTGAAGTTTTAGCTCAAAATACCCCACAGATATGTTTGATAGCATGGTAAAATTGTCAGATGTTTATTGCTTTCTCCACAATAACAGCTTTTATAGCTGTGCTGTATGGTTGAGGCACGCTTTGATTTTTCTCATGACTACCTTTCAGAAAACCTCATAATTTTCTTAGGTCCTTCACCCACCCATTCCTTTTGATGAGTGATTGTGACACATACTATATAACGCCTCATTTTTTGAGTCCAACAGAAAGGAAAGTTAATGATTTCCAGTCGACCAACCATGGATTTAACAACTGGTGTGGTCTTTTCAGTCAGTGCTTGACAAGATGCTTTTAAACTTTAATTTCTTAATTGAGACTATTGCACATCGTTGTACACCTGTGCTTTGTACATAATCTTTGTTCTTTTATCCCTCAAGCATCAAATAAGTATACGTCTTGATGACTGGATTTTGTCATGTACCGATGGCTCACCTGTGTCGATGCTTTCAAGACTGTTTCCACTCAGGTTCAAGAACTTTAGGTCTTTAACGCTTACAAACTCCTTTGGTCTCAGCCGCTTGATGTTGTTTCTGGATAAATCCAATCCCACAATATCCAGCGGGATGTCGGCCGGCACAGTTTTAAGGTCTGTGGAAGAGAGAGTTTATTAACTATGATCATGTAGGCCTACTGTAATGGTACAAATGTTGCTTCTTTTTGATTTCCAAGGGAATATTGTATAGTACAAAATTGTCCAAGTGCTTGCCAAATGATTTCCAGCAGGCTAACCATCACCATACATGGAAACATCTGCCATGACAATTGTTACTGTTGGTTCCTCGTTGGTGGTCTTTTAAAGTTATTTTCTCCGACTCTTTACTGATAATAGCATTGAAACTAACTAGTATGTGTATATGGATCTTAAATTTTACATGTGACAGTAATCATTGTGAAGGAGCTCTCTGTTTATTTTGGAAGAATCTGGACACTCGAAAGCTCAACACAACACTTTTGAGGGCTCCAGCAAACCCTGCCTGGCCATATTTATTTACACACGTTTGGTGGTAACACTCGAAACTCTGCGAGACATCACTGTCTCTGTGATGTTCGGAAATGTTATCGCGGGACTCGTCAGCTTGACATGTGTGAAAGCTATGCAGCGTGCAGAACAGATACAGCTGCAGTTCCCACTTGAACCCGCCAGAGCACCTGTTTTAAACCCCAGAGTGCCTTCAATGAGAGATCTTGCTCAGATTTGACATTTTGTAGTCTACATTTTTTGTTCTGTCGCCTATATAAACAGATTTATCCAGTTGCTACTAGAGTAGATTTTATACTACTTTACTGTTTCTCCGGGATCTGGAGGCTTCTGAGTTTACTCAAAGAAATTAACATGCACGTTATTCTTGTAATTCAAGCAAAAGCTTTCCCAGAAGCTGAGCTCACTAATACTTGGATTTTAGTATCATGCTCTTGCCACAAGATTCCTGCACAGGCTTTCTGCGAAAGCCTTTTTAAAGCAGTCAAAGAAATAGCCATTTATTCCTTAGGTCCCAGAACAGATGATGTAATGCTAAAAAAGTGTGACTTTTGATTCAGGATGCCTCCCTCAGCTCCAGATTGCTGATTCACTATTTCTGACAAGTGGAGAAGCCCAAATCCCACTGACTTCGAAACCCATCTGACTTCATTTAGTTCACATTGACTGTAATTTATCAGACACATTTTGCTTGACTCATCTAACCCGACTCTGTCTTCAGCCTGGCTGCGTCTCTCGTCTTGTTATGAATGTCAGAACACGTTTAGCTAGTTTTTCAAAATAATAAACCTTACGTTACAAGATGGAGAACTCAATATTCATGTTCAGTAGATTTAAACTAAGGGTTCCAGATGATGTAAGTGAAAAATATGTGGAAAATGCCATTTTTAAGTTGCCAGTAGAGATCGTCAGATTTATCGTTTTTTTTTTTTTTTTTTTTTTGGATTAATCAGTAATAGTTTAAGCTTTTGTAACAGAAATGTGCAATGAGTGGCATTGAAGTGTTCAATATATCAGTTCAATAAAACATCTGCTGATTGATGGTATGTTTGACTTTCTGGGAAAAAAATAGATTTCTGCTTTCATTTAATTTCATATGAAGAGAAAAATGTTGCAATGACAAAAGATTCTTTCAGTTAAACACTGAATTATGTCTTCCCATTTTCTTTGTCATATCTTTCAGCCATCTCTTCTTCAGATAAATCCCCTCTTGTCTTAAACACTGTAAGAGACGCATATGACACAGACAGCATTGTTCTCAGATTCCCATGGAGATTTGCATGTATAGCCATAGAAATGTGTTTTTTCCTAAGACTTTTTTTTAAGGGACAGAGTCACAAGGAGCTCTTATGTGCGCATTGCTTTACCTTCTGATAACAGTCTGAATATGACATTAATCTGTCCTTAGAGCAGGGTCTCCAGATGTTGAAGCTGGAAAGATACACATTCCCTTTCCGCTAGTTCTCTGCATCTTATATTTCATGTTTCCAGGCGTTTCTTCCACTCTGCTTTGAATCAGCAGAAATGATAAATCTTCTTAAAAATGTTTTTTTTTTTTTTTTTTTTTTTCAGAGTGTTTATTGAGAAATAAATTACACTTTGCCATTACGGGTACTGCAGAGTAACCACTAGAGTATATGATGACACATTCACTTAAAATAAACTGCTAATTTTCAAACTAACCCTGTTCATCTTTCTGTCAGATTTAATCGCATTTCATTTGGCAGCCTTCTTCACAAATCTTTCCATATTCATGTTTCATAGAAATGGAAAAATTACAGATAATCCAATAAACTGAGCAGTAGGCTACATTAGTGAGGTCGAACAGTTTAATTTTTTTTAAATTGTTTTAGTGGGAATGCTAATCACTGAATAGAGTACCTAAAAGCTCTTTAGTAGACAGAATTGTTCATGAAACCACCGTTAAGCCAAATGCCGCTTACTCTCTAAGTAACCCTTTTGTTTGTAGACACTTTCAGCATCACAACATACACTAAAAATACTGTGTGAACCTTTGCACTGGCCATTATGGTCAGTCAGTCACCATCATTTGCCAATTGTGAATGATTGGATTTTCTCAAACAAGGCCATGTGTTCTGTTACTTCACAACCCCAACTTCTCCCCAAATGTCCCTCTACAAAAGCAACCTCACATTGTTAGGCAATAAATAGATTTCTCACCTCTGTTCCTGCAGTCTAGACGGGGCACAGGGTGGACATAGGTGTGGCATAGAGAGGTTGCATCAGACTTTATTTGTGAAGCCGGTAAGGTCTGATTCTTCTGCTGAGGGGAGCACAGCAGTTCTGCATCCAGCTTCTTCAGTTGCCTCCCCTCAAATTCCCTAGGCTCTGCACATCGTGCGTAATTGCCGATGTTACGGTTACTGGGCACTTGTATGAACCTGACCAGGGAGTCCAGCTGGCAGTCACACCTCCAGGGATTATCATGGAGTCGCAAGTACTTGAGTTGCGGCATGGGGATCAACGTGCCTTCGCTCGCCACCTGCAGACGGTTGTGCTGCAGCAGCAAAGTGGTGAGACTGCTCAGGCCGTTGAACGCTCCCTCCTCTAAGCGGGAGATTTCATTCTGTTGGAGATCCAGGCTCCTCAGGTTCCGGAAGTGACTGAAGGTGTTGTCTCGCAGCACCTGAATCCTGTTGCGTGCCAGCTGCAGGTGGTGAATGTCCTCCGGCCAGCCCAATAGTACCGCTGTCAGTTTGCGCTCTTGGCAGTCAAAGTACTTTTCCCCATTGACTGAACTTTCCTTGCAGTCTGCAGCAAACCGCTTGACTGTACTTGAACGTTTTCGACTCCGCACTCGAAGTCCTTTCCCACCCTTTCGTGCATCAGCCGCCCAGATAACCAGGCACAGCAGCAGCAGCAGCAGCAGACCGCAGAGCAGCCGCATGGCAAAAAGCAGCAGCTGGGTAAACCAGTCAAGAGAAGTCTCAGCGTAACCTCTACGAACCAAGCGCTTCCCTTTGTCAGAGTGAGAGGGCACAGCTGCAGTCCCTGAGAAAAGGCAAAGGAAATGTAAATAACTGCACAGCACAGCTGTTTTCTGAAGAGAGGGAGAGGGCATGTGTATAAGTGAAAAGAACCTTTATCTTACTGTAAATTCATGGGTAACACTTTACTTGAAGGGGTGTGCTTAAGACTAACATGACACCTTCATAATCATGACATGACATATGTTATGAATATGAAGGAGGGTTTATGCATGTTTGTGACAACTGTCATTAAATTTTATTTGTTCAGTTATGACATTTTTTACGCAAATATGACATTTTTTGAGTTATTACATCTTGACATAAACCGATACATTATAACCTGTCAGTGTCTTTGTCATGACAACTTGACATTACTAAGACAACACGACCTGTCATAAACATGACATAGCAGATTAATTATCTAACTTCATAAACCACCTAGCTTTATTGGTTAGCATTACATTAAACTGTCAGGTGGTTGGTTTTGACATCGGCTGTCATGAAGCCATTATAACCTTTTAATGACAAATTCATTTAGTACCACTGTAGTTGAGGTCACGAAAAATATTCATGACACAGTTATAATGCCTCATGACAGCCAATGTCAAAGCCAACCACATGACAGTTTAACTTAATTTAATGTCAAGTTGTCATGACAAAGACACTGACAGGTTATGATGTTATTGGTTTATGTCAAGATGTCATAACAAAGACATCTTAAACAATGTCAAATTTGCATTAAAAATGTCATTATTGAGCAAAAGACACTTAATGACAGTTGTCATAAACATGCATAAACCTTATTTCATATTCAAGACATGTTCCAAGTTGATTTTTATGGCATGGCTGTGATGTAGTTCCAGGTTTGTGGACTGCACTACATTTCAATATCACTTTGCCACATTCTTTCCGAATTACTAAGAGTGGCGGCTTGGGTCATAAAAAGTAGATATACACAGGATCAGTAGTGTAAACTACTGAAAAATATCTTGAAATAAACACATTACAGACAAGTACGAGCAGCTGTGATATAATTTTGTAAAGTAAGCATTGAATTATTGAAATGAATGCACACCTGACATCCACTTTGTGTCATGACGGCACTTCCACCTTGGTTATCCATTAATGATCAACAACTGATTAGCCAATCATAAATTGTTCCGTAGGAAAACTTCTTAAACTTTCATTACTGCATGTCAAGGATTACTGCAGCCTAATGTAAAATATGATTCAAAATTAATTAAAATATTTGGATAACTGCTTTCCCCAGTGATTGCATAAAAAACAGAATGAGCTACAACCCGAATTATGTCATAATCCCTTTCACAAGCCCACACCCTGCTATGTCAATGTTTTTTTGTGGCTACATGCTACATTTTATTTGTAACAATGGAACATTAGTCCTCTTCATTTGCTACATGTTTTCTCTTGCATTAATGTTATAATTACCTCCCATAGCCTGAGTGTGTGCAATAGCATTTTGTGCAATTTCTTTTCTTTTTTTTTTTTTTTTGTGAGGAGACATCTATTAGCCATATGTTGTTTGACTTCCTTAAAAGTAAAGACTGGCTCTGTAGCACCTTCAGAACATTGCTTTGTTTGTTTGAGTAGTTCTGTGTGTCAATTAAGATGAAAGGGATTGTTCACAGTTCTATTAGTCCTATGAGACAACAGTGTGCTATTTAGAGCACTTTTAATTTGCTTACAGAAGAAACAGGACCAAGCTGGAAGGGTAGATCTAGTAAAAACACATATGCTGGACTGTTTTCATTGTGCCGCCAGCCTGATCTTTCTGTTTGTAGTGAGTCTTCTGAACTCCTGCCTAAAAACCTGTTATGAAAAAACTGTTGTGTAACTCACTGATGAACGATTCATGACAGTAGCACTCATTGGTCCTTCTCACTAACAGATATCAGTGCAAATCAGAAATTCACAGGTGGATTTTGAGGCTTCAGGGCTTTCCCTGTCTTTCAAGACAATGTAAAACTACTAACAGGTCTTGAACTTCTGAGAGGCCACATACACTCTTCCAGTCTACACTTAGGTTGCTTTACAGCTTTCACAGATGCATCACATTAATTTAAATAGTAGAAATTGTATTTGCAGGAACTGTTCCATGTTCTTTCTTTCCAGTGATACAATTATATGACTGACATCATGTGAACACACGTGATAATTACTTAGCCTTTTTTTTTTTTAAATTTGATATTTTTTCACATTTTCACAAATGTGTCGCCCAATGGACAATATTCTTATTACAAACAATAAGTGCATATTGTGACAGATTGCAATGCATTGCTATGCAGTTTCATCTTACCAAAGAAAAATGGAAATGTGAGATTTGCAGAATTACGCTTATAAAGTTTCAAATCTTGATATTTTGATGTTGAAATTATTATTTTTTTTAAATACTTTTGTAATGTTGAGATCCAGAACAGATTAAGTCAATTATCACAAGAAATATTAAAATATATGGCCTTTTAATTTGTTGTAATTGATCTGAGACCAGTCTCAATGTGCCTTGGCTACATGTATGATCCGATCACTGAAACGCATGTTAATCCCAGGTATGAAGGGAGCCTGTGCGAATTTCTGTCTGAAACATATAAGCTCTGCTAATGGAGCGGACATTAACAGAAAGCAGTTAGCACTTCAGGTGAACAAACCAGTAAAACGAAGCCCTTGTGTGAGACCCTGGCTGCCATGATGGCCTTGGTTTACTACAATAATAGAAAGAAAGGCGAACCAAGGGATGGAAAGCTTCGATGGGAAATGGAGAAGAACACAGGCACTGTTCGCTGTCCAACATGAGGGGGGAGTGTGTATTTTCTTTTCATCTCCAATCTTTTTTTTAATTTCCATGCCACCCAAATTCCAGGTTTACCCAGTGTGTTCAGAAGAATGCTCCTGATTATCTCAGGTCCAAAGTTAAGGTTAGAAACCTTGAGAAGAATTTACCCCTCCCCCGTGTAGATCCCAGTTATCAGGACAATGTGTGTGAGAGAGAAGTTTACATGGCCAGCAGTGCTTAATTAAAACCATTTGAACTTCCTGCACTGGGAAGAAAATACTTTTTTCTTCTATCAGAGTGTTTTCCTGAATTCATTTTAAAAAAATTATACCGGTATATATAGAAGAACACAAACATGTATTTTAGACTAATCACCCAGTCTTTGCTTTTTTTTAACAGCATGTAGAGTTAGACAGTCTTGCTCTGAGACACAATTGATAAATAAACTTTTCAAATAAACTGGCTTCAGCCAATGCCCTGATCCCAGCCAAAATTACAATTGCAGGAAGCATGCAAGCCCTCTGTTACAAAAGTGCAGTCCAGTGCACAACTTACTGAACATCCATTAGCACTGGCATTGCAGGAAAGATTTCATTGTATGTAAACTACACACATGCAAACACACACATGTATAATTAAATTTTTTTAGATACCTGTGCACAGGGAAATGCATCCGAAAACTCATCCAATCTGGATATGTCCTGTTAGCTTATCTTTTTGTCCTGTCATGAGCTTTGTATGGTGCTAGATGCCTGAACTCTGTGTGCTGCTCGGTCTGACTATGTGTGTGTATATGCATGAGAGTATGTGTGTGAGGCTCAGTGCAGCCCCCAAGCTTGTGCCTGGTTTTAAATTACACGCTGCGTCTCTGTGCAGGCGAGCAGATCCACATGTCCCGTTTACAACTGTACCGCCTCCAGGCTTCCAGCACTTTGTGAGTCTTTTATCAGTCTGATGTCAAAAGAGACAATGAGGCAACCCCATTCAAACAAGGTGGACAGTATTTTTCTGTATATATATATATTTTTTAAAGCAGTGGTTCATCCAAAAATAAAATTATGTCCTGATGTGCCAAAAATTGTAAATAAATTGAATCAGTTCATCTAGGTCACAAAATTTAAACAAAATCTGATTCTCAAGTTCACTAGTTTGAACTCACAAGCAATACATTATTCAAAATTATTCTTTGATGTTTCAGGGAAGAATGAAAGTTGTACAGGTTTGGAACAACATAAGAGTGGTTAAATGATGAGAACTGTCTTGCGTTTATTAGATGCATTTTACATTATGTTCTCAGAGTTGCGTAAAGATGAAACATGAAATTTCCACAAAATAAAAGAACTGCTGCATCTTGCTTTGTAAATGAAATGTGTTTAAAGCTCTAGGAGACTTACTTGCTTTTATCTCAGGCATGCCTTTGGGGCTTTTTTCCCCATATATGTTTGTTATATTACCTCAAAAATGAACAGCACTTACCCCTGTGAAATATTACCTGCCCTGCTGAAAGGACTTTGATGTGTCCATTCCCAAAAGAGGTTTGTAAATGTTTTTCCACTAAACCAAATAAGAACAATTCCTGACATGTTGGTCAAACTGAGAAGCACATATTTAAAAAGAACATGTGACAGAATTCTCATTCACTTTCAAACTGTTTTTTCTCTGGTATTTTTGTGTTGTTGTTGTTGTTGCTGCTGTTGTTTTCTTCAGTGAAATATCTGAAACAGCCCTAACACAACTGTAAACTTTAAAATATCATTTAATTTAAATGTGAAATCCAGGCCTAGAAAAGTCATGGAAATTCAAATAATCCTAAATGGTCTGTGGACATTTTATAGTCTTTTTTTATAGAGTATAATTTTAATTTCTTGAGCTAGAACTAGTCATTTTTGGCAGGTCCATTTTCACACTCTGAACCATTCCAAATATCCATCCTGGACTGCATTTAAAAGCTAGAACGCTTTGACCTGTATATTACTATACTATACGGGGTGTATTACTTACGCCTACCGCCTAACTTTGGGCATAGGCCACGAACAAGAGCTTTTCAGTCATCCCAGTCCTGGGCCAACTTCTCTAACTGTACCCAGAACTCTGCATCCAGGTCACGGCACCAGCTGTTCCTTGTCCTGCCGCTCTTCCTTTTCCCTGGTGGGTTCCAAAATAGGGTGTGTCTTACTTACTGTGCTTGATAAAGGCTTGTGTAGGGTATGGCCAACCCATCTCCAACGTCTTTGGAGGATCTCTTCCTCAATACGCTACTGTTCTGTTCGCTGCCACATCTCCAGGTTACTGATGGTGTCCGGCCAGCACGGCCAGTGTTAATAAAGGACTGGATTTTCTTCATGGTAATGACTGTTGTTCTCCAGGTCTCTACACCATACAGTAGAACAGGCTTTATCATGGAGTTAAAGATCCTGATCTTGGTGTTCCTAGGCAGCTCAGAAGATCCCCAGACTTTCTTCAGGTGATGGGAAACTGCCCTTGCCTTTCTTTCCAATCACATCCTCCTCTTTCCCTCCCCACTTGTCAACTACGCTGCCAAGATGAAGCTTTCCACTTCCTCTAGTCCTGAGGAAGCCGTGTTGTTGTTGTTGACCTTGAGGATTTTGCTCTTCCCTTTGTGTATAATAAGTCCAAGGCTTGAGTCCTAGGGATGATGTTGGTCTTCTCTTGCATTTGTTGCTGGTTTTGGGAAAGAAGTGCTGGGTCATCAGCAAAGTTGAGGTCATCCAATTGTGTCCAAGGTATCCATTGGGTGCCATTTGTCTTTCTAGGCAGTTAATGTCTTCATTACCCTATCTAAAGTATTTCCAAAAGGAAAAGGACGGGTGACTGTAGGCATCCTTTTCTTTTCTTCATCCTTTTCTTTTTTGTTGGCATGGACACAGTGCTTCCATAGGGATATGATTAATCAATTTAATTTTTATTAATGGTCATCTGAGGTTATTAAAATATACTGAATTTTAAAAAATGTCATGTTAGACAGTGCAATGGATAATTTACTGTATTATTATAATTACTAATGTGTAAAAAATACCCAGTGGGTTTAAACTATGACCGGAGCTGGATTAAAAAACGGATTCTTGTTTTCGCCATGTTTAGTTGCACAAGACATGATGTAATCAAACATCCCAGGAATAGGAAAATTTTGTCATGAAGATAAATTCGGACATTCTCCTCAAACCTTGTTCTTAAACAGACATTGCAAGAAAAGCACAATGAAAAACGAATGTTAGGAATTAGCCAGACTTAACTCAGACCATATTTACTAAATAATCAAATTATGCATGCATCACTTTGTATTGTTGGGACACTAGTCCTTGTCCATTTTTCAAGTTAGAACATGTTGTGTTTTGTCTCTTTGAGGCAGAAGTGAAGAGTGATGGCAGATTTGATTTGCACTAAACAAACAAAGTTTAATTAAATTGCAACAAAATGAGATCAACATTTGTTTTGAATTAGCAAATTAGGCACATAAAAATGTGCTTGTTTTTCTTTTAAGCATCTTCTTTCATGCACTTTAATAAAAAAAAAATGAAACAATTGGTTTTGTTTTAAATTTGTTTTAAGGGACTTAATTTATGGTTGGATCATGTGAAGTACTGCAAACAATAATACTGTACATTCTTTTAATCTGTTTGACGGCAAACCCTTCATCATGACCTTTTATCTTTTAGTCCAGACAAAACAGTTTAATTTGAACTGAGAACTAAAAGTTTATGTATAAAGCCACGTTCTGGTTTTCCAATGATTGAAATGATGCAGCTGCTGAAGGGGGCATTACGACTTTGGGATAGATATCAATGTGTCTCTCACACGCATTACATTCTATCTACCATGAACAGACTCCAAAAAGCAATGTCAAATGTATGTGTGTGTGAGAGAGAGCGCTTGAGGGAGAAAGAGTGAACAAGTGGATTTGTATGTCTTGCTGATATTATGCAGAACGAATTTGGTTGGCAACTATAGCAAACTGGCAATAGATCCAGTGGACCAGTTTCCAGAGCCGTTCCTCAGTAATATTTGTGCCAACTTGCTTTCAGCTTCCAAATTCAATGTTCCTGTTACAAAGCCATTATTGTTGTTGCGAATAGTCGATTCTTTAATAATCGCACCTTTATGTTCTATAGATACACAATTGTCATTTAAATGTAATGACAAATCATGAAGACAGTTCAAAACTTAATTTGAGTTTTCCATCAATTCTTACTTAACATTACTGTGTGCAGCTGGATGGGATCATATCTCAGCAACTTATAAAGTGTCTAAGTCTGTGTCTATGTATCACCAAGCTCCACATGTCTCGTATTTCATTTTTCTTCCTGAGTGTGTCAGGAGTGAATGAAGTGCTGTAAATGTGTTTTCTTTCTTAAAGTAAAGGTTATACTTCATGTGGACATCTAGCCTGGTTGCTTTTTAAAACCAAGATTCTTTTTGGTGGAAATCAAATTGAGCAGATCTGTTCTGTTTAGGTGCTGGGTTCAAGGTCAGATCTTTAAATGTTGTTTTGAGCGCAAAGAAGTACTGTAGTTCAATAAAAAAATAAATAAATCAAAATTCCAATCATTTACTAGCATGTCATTCCAATCTGTAAGAATTTTTTGAACATTTTTATGATTATTTCCAGTTTATCTGGTTCACTGACCTGGTCTGAATGATCACAAATCAGAATGACCTGGTTCTTGAGTTTAACTCGAGGCTTTTTAAAATGGTAAAATTTGGTCTGTTTACTCACAAAAATATTTTGAGACTTCACAAGTCATATTTAAATTATCTAAATTTATTGTACTTTTGTGGAAATTGTCTTTGTTTCATTTTGTGTTCCATGGAGAAAAGAAAGCCATACTGTTTGGAATGGCATGGAGATGATGAGTAAAAGTCGAAACATTTATTTTCTTAGCAATGGCAAGTCTTCATTGGCAGGAGCAGCATAGGCAGGTCAAATATGTCAAGGCTGAACATGATGCACATAAATGCACCTTTAAGAAGTAAAAAAGTACAAAGATGCCCTAGGGTGCTGCTCCAGAGACAAGCTGTTGTATCCATAAGGGTACAATTTTTTTCACCCTTTTTTTTCTGTGTGAAAGATATTCTTATATCACAGGATACAGGGGCTATGTCTTCTTTTTTGTCATTCTTCTCTCAATTCAGAGCACGTCTCTACAGGTCTGGATTAATAAATGCTTCATAGCTCAGACTCCAGCTAAACCTGCTTTTGCTAGTCAGTTTCTAATTAGAGACAGAAAATATCCAAGCACAACAGTTTCATCAAAATTCTTCGACACAACCTCTTCCTGATGTTTGTGTCAGAACACATTGACTGTAGGTTGAAACTACACCTAAAAGTTCAAAGCATTCAGGAAAGGCTTGAATACTGAAAATAATTGTATTGTTGTAATTACCCAGATCCTGAAGAGGACCTCACTTTCTTGTCCCAATATGTTACACATGTTTTGGACTGTAGGAAGCAAAGTAATTGGGACTTGTGTCACATCAACATGTGCTAATTGTTGGACAAATGTGTTCCTCATTACAGCCTTATAAAACAAGGCCAGGCAGACCACAGCCAGACACCCTGCATGGCGGTTTTATTTGTCATAGATTCCAAACAGAGCTGTGATGAAAGACCTCAAGTAGACCATCCCATTTAAAACCAAACCAGGTTCGGTTTCTTTTTGTATGAGAAATCACTGGATTGGGTTTAGATCAGGAATAAACGCCCAAAATGATCTTTTGAAGATTTCCACCAGCATAGTGAACTGGATGCTGGTCCCCAGCATGAGATACTGGTGAGAGTAACCAAC